ATTTAAAGTAAATAAATAAACTATAATCTATTCCAGCGATGACCACTGCTAACATTTCAAGTTTATTTTCTACTTGTAGGTCATTTTAGATAGCTGAGACCCCATTATATGGATTTTTTTTATACATTGCCTTTGACAGTGATTATATCAAACACGTTTTCTCGTTATGAACTTCACTTTCAAAGGTGGCCCAATATTGTAGCCTCTGGGTGTCCCAGAAGGGGCTCTGCCATGCCACTGCTTGTGGACACTTACAAAGCTTAGAGTTTCACTGTCATATTCACTAAACCTCAGGTATGAATCCATAGGTTTGAGAGATTTGTAAGCTTTGCACATAAATCTGATGCTTTTTCTGGAGTTAGAATTACAGAATATGGTTTTAATGACATTTTAAATTAAATTACATTTTAATGAATTAGTTTTTATATTTTGCAGTACTGGGGGATGAACCTGTACATGCCAGGCAGGGACTCTACACTAAACTACATCTCCAATCCTTGGGAAATTCTTTTAGTCAGCATCTCACTATGTAACCCAAGCCTTGAACTCATTATTCCCTTTGCCTCAGCCTCTTGAGTAGTTGGATTGCAGGTGTACGCCACCGTGCCTGGCTCATTCCTCACATTTTAATTTGTCAAATTTCATGCCTGAAGTTTGAAGACATCTTTGTGCCACCTGAATATTCTGGCCATGGGAGGTTTGTGTGGTAGGTACTTCCTTTCCTGCATCCAGCTTCCTCAAGGCACACAATGACCCATGAAAGCATGTGTTGACTGTAGCAGAACCCATGGCCAGATCTTCTACTTCATGTACCTGGCTTTCACCAAACAGCTGCCTTCACGGAGTCGAGGGCATCCTCAGGTGCAGGGGAGAGCCAAGGACCTGGGCAGACTCATAATTGTTGTTCTTTCTAGCTGACACTTCAAATAAGCATTGGCCCAACATTTATTTTTAAAGATGATGGTCAGATGATGCATGGAAATTGGAAATCTCTATTTCTGTCATTCAGTCTTTCTTTGTGCCCAAGCAAATCATCTCTGGCCTCTAAACAGCAGTCCCACAGTTAAAATGACCTGACTTCCCTAGAAAAAAAAGTTTAATGACTATCAGTTAGTAGTTGGTCTTCCTTGACAAGAAAACAAATAAAAATACCCCTTAACCTAGTTGGGCACCAGGTATGTGGATCGACCACAGTGCATCCACAACCCTCTTAGTTTATTCCTGTTTGTTTCATCTCCCACCTCCATCTTATCAAAGTAAAATAGAGTAATGCTTACCTGAATTCCAACTGTTTTTGACATCCTCTGTTGAGGACTACAGGACAGTGACTAAAACACCAGGCAACAAAAAGAAACCATGCTCTAAATGACTTGTAAAAATCAACCCCTGAATAACAAACCACATTGACTTATGCCAGTGAGACCTAGATAGGCAAGAAAGAGCAGGTGATGAGAGTCCATTCACTGTAAGTAAGACCCACTGTGTTCATCAGCTTTGCATTATTAATAATGAAATATCAGAGACAACTAGCATGCAAAGAGATGTTACCTTTGGGTCATGTTTATAGCAGTATCAATCCAGACCAAGGTGGACCCCTTGCTTTGAGCTTCTGACAAGGGTGACACATCATGGCAGAAGCAAGTTGTAGAGCAAGGCACTTGCCTCATAATCCAGGAAACACGTAAAGAGCAAAGGTGGAGGGGCTTCTCACGGTCCCCTTCAAGGGTATGCCTTCAGTGACCTAAGAACTTCCCACGGGACCCACTTCTTATGGATCCACACCACAGCCCAGCGATACGTCCTTATTAACACGTGGACCTTTGGGGAATGCTGCCTGTATTCAATCCATAGAATCTTTTACATTTGTTGCTGTTGTTTTCATTGTTTAAAAACTGGGATAATAGGATGCTATCATGGAAGGTAAAATAAAAATTTCAAAAACGAAGCTAGAAGTAAGCCAGGTCCTTTTTTCAAAAGCTTGAATTCTTCCAGACCAAACATGGATGTAATGTAAGGCCTGAAATTTCAACTGATTAGGCATTACAAATAATCACCCTAGTTATTCACGCTCCTTCTCTCTTCTTTCTGGTATTCTCCCAACGGTATAGAGAATGGAAAATGAGATATTCTCATAACAGTAATTCCCACAGCTTTGCAAGCATACCTTTCCCAGGTCCTAACAACTAGTGACAGGGTGACATCATGAAGACAAAAATTCAAGCCCTATTATATGTTTGGCTTAAACTCATGTTTTCCATATAAAGATGGCATAATTGGGTCACTTTGTCTGTTCTACTAAAACTGTACAAGAACCATGGCTGGTCCTATAGTAAAGATTTTTATCCTTACATAGAGGAGAAAATACAGGAGAGCCAGGCTACTCTGTCAACAAGAGAAATTTTGATTGGGAGGAAAAAATATATTGCATTGAGTTTGCATCCAAATGCTGCTGTTTGTGTA